GGATGGTTAAGTTCAGCATTGGGGAGGTGTAAGTAATTGAAAGTGTCTCCCTCCATTTCTGTAACCCAAAAGCTTTAGAAGACCAGATCTTTATCTTGTTTACACACAGCAAAAGAGAAAGACCACCGCCACTAATACAGATCAGAATCTGTCAAAACTGAACAAAACAACATCCATGTTTATACTCTTGCTGTCTTCCCCTCATCCTGTAGTAACATTCAGACATTGGCCTTTCCCTCAGGACTCAGCTGTTGTATGTAGAGACCACTGAACCACCATGCAAAGATAGTGAAGATCAATCCAGCACAGAGCAATAATTAGAACAGAATGTATGTCTGACATACCTATAGCTGGAACCACCAGGCGACACACACAAAACGCAAATGTTAGTCTAGAACTGTCATAGTCACCACTCCAGAAGAACACACATTTTTCTCTTACCAAGAAGGGAATCTAAAGATACAACACGTTCAAGGATGGCCTTTGTGTACTTTCACTTCCTGCAAGGTATGACCACTTATCCAATCCACCCAATACAGAACACCAAGGAAAGCCTTCCTCTTTTACTCCAAAATTTTCCCATCTTAGATCTGACCCATGTTGTCCGTATCAAAATTAGTCTCACCTCTGATAGGCCTTGTTGCTGGAGAGCAAGCTGCATACTAGGCTCAAGCTAACCCCCTATAAAAAAAACTTATATCCCCCTCCAACTCCCCAGTTGACGCCAATGTCATTTTTGTTTAAAATAAGTCCTCCCCCCCCTCACCCCGTCCCGAACGGCTTTCACTTCTTCAACCCAAAGAGGCCCCATCCTTGAAAGCTGGAGTCCCAGAATCTCCCTCCACAATTTTTAAAAATAAAAGTACCATCGCCTTTGACCTGGGAACTCCCTTCCACCTGACGTGTGGCGGCTGCCTGTGGGGTTCCTACCAAAAGCCCGTGGGGGTTCGCGCGCGCCGACCTTTCCTCGCGGCTTCCAATCTCCCCGGGCGGGCCTCGGAAGTACCGGGGCCGAGCCGTCCCTCCAGTCTCGGGCGCCCGAGGCTCTCTAGCGCCCATTCCCGGCACCACCCCTCAACCCGCTCGACGCCCAACAAAACCGCCACCTCACGACTCTCACTCTGCTCGGGGCAACCCCAGCAGGCAGGCGCTCGCCCCCGCCCGCCCCCTTCCCAGGGATCCAGCGACTTTGTCATCGCCCCAAAAGTTACAGGTTCGAGACTGCTTGAAGTCACTTGGAGGTTGCCCCCCCCAAAAAAGACTTCTCAAACCCCAGAAATAAAGGCAGCGCGGGGGAGCCGCGGCGACGGGAGAGGCTGCACTTTCCGTAGGCTGAGAGTCACCTTCTTCGCGCAGCAGGCAGCAGCAATTCTAGCAGCCCCAAAGGGGGCCCGAATGAGGGGGCAACATGCCGGGTCAAGGGATTATTCCTCCTCCTCCTCCTCTTCTTCCTCCCGGCTCCCCTCTCCTCGCCGCGCTCCCCTCTCTGCCTCCCTCTCTCCCCGCCATGTGGAATCCCCGGAGACGGTTCCCTCGCTCGGCGCCTCGCTGGCTGGCTGGCTGACTTCCCCGGGTTGCCCCAGCAGCCTTAGGCCCAAGGCGGGCTGGGCTGCCTCCGAGGCCGAAGGGCTGCTCCTCCCAGCAGCCCCA